TTAATTAATATTCGGTAATGGTAATTTATAAATTAATGTCTTCAAAACGAAAATAAAGGTTTTTAGATCATAAACATTGCAAATTATGATTTCGTCATTATAAATAATAGAAAAAAAATACAATGACCCAAAAAGAGTTGAAAGTACATTTATTTTTTTTTTAAATCTCTCTAAAAACAGAATTAAGAATATTCCTCACTGGCCTTCGCTCTGGAAAACGAATTAATAATTATTTTTATAATTGTGTAAACATTTCAATAAATATTAAATAGCTTGTTTCATTTTTTTTATTTTTTCTCTTCCCAACGTTGTCCATAGATTGAAAATTTAATTTAGTCTGACCAAACTTACATTTTACAGTCGTTGGGACACTTATTTCAACTATTTTTTTATTCTATTTATTTTTTTAGTAATTTTAAATTGAAACATAAAATTAAAATTAAAAAAAACTATATTTTACATGTTTTTGGATTTATTTTGCACAGATTTATAGGTTAATATGTTCTTATCATTACATTCTTTGAACATAATAAGAAATAAATATTGCCAATATTCAACGAGTAATAATGTATCACAAATCACAAAAAATAAATGCCTCCTTAAGTACAGTTTAATACGATTTAGCGTCCTATAAAATTAATATATAAGAATGGAAATTTATAGAAATCAAATACATTTCTTTTTTAAATTAAAATAAAAGCACGAGTACAGAAATCGGAAAATCGTGTCCTTAAGGGTAAATGAAAATGTCTTGACAAATCGTAGTAAATCGATTAAATCACATTTTAATAATAATTTGTTTGTGTTTTAAGCACATATTGTGTTAAAATACTTCTGGAATCTCACCGAATAATTTAAGATACCAAACTTAAAAATCGATCCAACCGTTCGCTCAAAATATCGTTACAAACTTTTAGCGGAAAACACGTATCTACACTTACGTTTTTTATCTCATATATTACATTACATTTTGTTGTTGATTGATTTTTTCCTTCTTATATTACCTTATTTCATTAATCCCTATTTTATTGCCGTAATTATTTATTTCATAGTTCTCAGTTACTTTTGTTATTTTATTCATAATTTCCTAACTTCATTACCATTATGTTACATTTCCTAACTTTACATTCGCTACTTTTAATCTCTAGGTTTATTATCTTTTTTTTTTTTTGTGTGTGTGTTTCCTTTAAGTTTATTTTACCTAGTTTATTTTACTTCAAGTTTATCCAACCTATATTTATATTACATACGTATTATACTATTATACATATATACATACATATTATTATTTTCTTTTTAATATTAATAGTTTCTCATTGTTATAAGGTTTTTTCTTAGCCATAATGGCCTGAACTTTGGGCCGAAACGTTAGTAAAAATAAGAATATTCATCACCCATTATATGTAGAACAGTCGAATAGCATCCTTCAAAAATAAAAATAAATATAATTTATTTATTTTTACAATTGTTTGATAAAACAGCGCAACCAACCTTCTCTCTGAATTCCTTTGTTTTGTTCCACTTAAGTCGAATAAAAATATGTAAAGTTTATTTCAATCGCAATACTATTCTAACATTGTATAATACCAATCAAGTTCATCAGTAATTCTTTAAAACTTTATAGTTAAGAAATATCATTGATTATTAGATGAACTGATTAAATCCACCGCTGCTTCCCAAGAAAGAACATTGGGACAACATAAGGGCTTAATCTTGATTAGCCTTTGAACGCTTTCGAAGTTTCATAAAGTTTTTCTCGTGGTTGCTATCCTGGTGCTTATCTGCATAAAACATCTTGGCCAACAAAGCCGCTTTTTAGATCATCTTTAAAACTTAGGATTTAAGGCGATAAGAGGATATATAGCTTCTACCGACAGAATGCATTGTGTGGGTTAAAATATTACTGATAACTTCTACTGCGATTCTTTTTGACAAGTTCAGATATGAAAAGTTCCAGCGTCTATTCTTAATATATTGTCATTTTTCGGTTTATAATCACATAGATAACTATTATTTTTCATATTTCAAATAGATGCAAGGACATCCCAAATTTTTATTCTCTAATAATCCTAAGTATTATTCACAATAAATCTAATTAAAAATCCCTTTAGATTCCTAGTCATGTTGGTTTATCAGGTAGTGAATCGACTCACACACGTGACAGAGAAGCGTTTGCCATACTCTGTACCTAAACCTAACACAGTACTGTAAGACTTCAATATAACCCTATTAAATTAAAAGAACAATGGCGCTACGTTTACTCCAAGGTTACAAATATTAACAAATATAGTCACAATGCCTTGCAACTGAGCAACCAACGCTCTCTGGCTATGGACTTCCATTATTTTTTAAGGAAGTATGTATAATAATTTAAGTCTAAAAATTAAAGTGCATCTCAACAGCTTGTATTTAAAATAAAAATATTTTAATCTTCTAAGTTTGTCATTTGATAAGAAACCCATGAAGATTGCAATTATAAACATTCAATTGGCGTCAATTGGTAAATTACGAACTAATAAAGTGCCTTTCATATTTGGACGGGGTAGTGGGTTCTGGGATAAGCGAAAAATCTTAAAAAAGAAATAATAATTAAAAAAACTGTATTATTTGATTTTTATTTTGTTATTTGTTTAAGTTATAATTATTATTTCTTTGTATATTATTAAATATATTTGAATTTACTTTTCATTAAAAATACTCAGGAATATTATATTGTCAATAATACTAAATTACACATAAAACAAAATATTTTAATAATTAAATACAATATAATCTTTGTTAAGTTATTTCTAGAAGTGTACAAATCTAACTCCGATCTATTTACATTTAGTTAAGGTCGACAAGATGGAGAGAGATGTACTATTGGAATGGGATTCAGGGGTTTATCTTGCCAGTGATGAAATAAACAAACGTCAAACCCACCTCTCAAATATTCGGTGATGGATTGGTTATATTTATCATTAATAGGATTCTTACAAGAAAACTGTATTTACTTATAATTTAATGAATAAAATTAAATACGAAACAGTTTGTAGTTTTGACAAATTTGAAAACTTGGGAACCGCTACAAAAAAATTATCGACTATACTAGAAATTTAAGAAAAAAAATTGATATTTTAAATCTTTTTATTTGTAATTGCTTGTTTAAATAGTTAAAAAGCTTCAAATGCAATTGTGCTTCGATATTTCTTTATAAAACAAATTGTGAAAAAATACATTTAATCACAACTCATGAGGGAAAGCAAATTTCTTTTTAATGAAGTGTTAAAATATTATTTCCATCAGTTGGAGAAGTAACGTTATCCACCAGTTTTTGAGGTTATGATTGAATCGATGCATTTGTCGCTTTCCACATCCATACAAAATTATTCTATTTTTTTTTTAAACTTTCAACAAAATAAAAAAAAAATACAGGAAGCTGCCAGAATTATAAATCTAATATCACAACAGAACTGACATGCCATTTAATAAAGATCCATCATAAATTGGATTTTGAATAACAACAATATTTAGTGACAAAAACGTTAATTGTAAAAATGATACAATCAATGTAAATACATATTGGACAGATATATTAAATATAATACAAATCCAATAATGATAAATAACTAATATTTAATTGAAAAACAAAAATGATAATTTTCAATAAATTAAAAGAGGGTATAGATAACAAATATTTTTTTTTTACAAATTTACGGAAAGTTAATTTTTTTTTTTTTAACTTTCTTTATTGAATATTAATACATTCTGCCACATTGAAGGGCATTAATATTAAGGCTACATGATTCATTCACACAATATGTACAAGATAACAAATAATAATAATATAAGGATAGTTGTAGTTAAAATAATAGTCTAAAGTTTAATTATATGACTTATGTAGTTTTAACTAACGAGGGAATATGCAGTTGTATCTTTAAATGTATTATGGATTAAAATTTTATTGACTTTAATGATGATTTATCCTTAGTAATTTTTCTATATATTTTTTTTTATTTCTCAATGATATTTACAACTATATTAAAGAAATACATTTCGTAAATTTGAACATATGGATATAATGACGTGAAAACACTTGCTGAGAAACTACCCAATGATAGCACTCTAATTATATGTCTACATTAGGAGATCACAGGGCCTTCTTCTTTTCAGACGCCTAGGAGGGTTATCAGGAATTAAAGAGGAAGCAAGGTTAGAAATGAGAGGGTTGGGATGGTTCTGAAGTTTATTATGGAATGATAGGTATCTGGATTCGGCCTGATCTGAAACATAAGAAACATTAATGTCATTATGGATGGTTTTATTTGTAACCAAGGAGAGAGCATTAAGGATTTTACGAAGGACTTTGGATTGTAAGGATTGGATAGGTCTCATTATAGTCATGTATATGAGCCTTTAGTAATTAATTGGAAGTTTAGAGCGTTTGTCTAGTAAGTGCTGAAATAATCGGAAGCGTCGAGCGGTTTCTTGTCGTTTCAGTCTGGTAGTTAGTAATTTAAAGTGCCATTTGTAAAATGCACATACCTTAATTATTATTAAAATATCTTAATTATTATTATATTAGTTTAAATAAGGATACTTACTATAAATTATGTCAAAGTGATTTTATTGTTTATGAATTTTAGAAAGGAGTGTTCTGAAGAAAGGGATTCTTGCCATGAAACGTTAAGCAGGAATCATAAATAATAAAATATACGATGAAAGAATGGATGCCATTTGAAATGCTCAAGACAATAAAAAATACATTATTAATAATTCAACAAATTAATAATTGTATTGAACAATAATAATTTAAAAGATTTTCTTTTAATTTGTTAAAATTACTTTATTTATTAAGAATCAAATACTATTCGAAGTTAAAAACTTCATAAATTGAAAACGGAATAATTAAATGTTAAAAGAAGCAAAACTTTAAAACAATAGAGCATACTTATCTTTTATCAGGCAACAATATATAATTAGCAATACAAGTGGTAATTTAAAAAAAAAAATTACCCACTCACTTCGATAACTCCACTGGTATAAAAGACGGTTAGATATTCAGATTGTTACATTTGAGTCGCTAATCTCAAATTACCAACATTTGGTAAGTCTAATTTGAGTTATAATTTTATAACCAACCAATTTCATAAAGCAGACCTTTAATTTTTATTATTTTTTCAGAAAATGTTTTTCAAAGTATTATTCTTAGCAGCCTTCCTGGCTTTGGCTGCTGGTGAACAATATCCTTTGGTAAGAATATTAGGAAAAAAATGTTTGTCTCATAACCAAAAGTTATAATTTTTATAATAATTAATTTTATTGTTTTTTTAAATAATTTTAGTTCCAACAAAACTACGGACAGTACCCACAGCAGTACGGATACAACCAAGGACCCTATCCTACCCCTTACCAAGTACCATATGCTCTTGAAAACCAAGGATTCCCATTCCAATACCAAGGTTTCCCATTCCAGTACCCAGGATTATACCCATTCCAGTACCCAGGACAGTACCCATTCCAGTATCGTGGATTGTACCCATACCAGTACCAAGGCCAATACCAGGGACCATTCACATACCCATTTCAAGGTCCATACACCTACCCATACCAGGGCCAGTTCAATAACCAAAACAGATTTTACGGAGTAAGTTTATTTTATTTTTCAGTCGATTGATATGTTTACGTTAACATTATTTTTATAGTAATTATTATTTGTTTTTGTTATTTCAGTTTCCTTACTATTACAACCAGGTTGCTGCTTAAGAAATGAGTGCTTCTGAAAAATCAATTCTTCAACTTCCTACAAAACGTTACAAACAATATTTTTTTCACATAATTTTTATTAAAGGATAACTAAGATTCAAAACTATATAATCAAACCATTAAAGTTGTATATAAATAAAATAAAATCTATTATTACACTATACTATAATATTATTTTTTACCTATTGTATCCCTATTTGGTAAAATAGTAGGCATCAAACAAGTCATAATTCATAATATGTGCATGAAGCAACGTCTATTTTTTAAATTATTATTCGTTATTAACTTATATAAAGTGTATAAATCAGTTATATGTGTGTATGTATGCATAAACAGATAGATAGAATACCTATAAATAACCGTAACATATAAATATTCGGTTTATTCCAAAAAAAAAACATTAGGTAACATGTTATAAATTCAAATCACCTATTACTTTGATAATTTTTTCTCAGTGAAATTAAAACATTGTGCACTCGGTGTAATTATTTATGATGTACAAATTATTTCTTGCCATTTTAATTCACTCACTATGTTTTTCATCGATGAATATTGTGAAAATTTTTACAATTAACCGATGGTATTTATGTATAATTTAATTGCCTCGATTTGTTGTACAAAATTGTTCAGCATAATGTTTTATTAGTTTTGTTCTAGTTTTTTGTTATCACTATTTTTCATTTTTTTTTTTTTTAAGATTTATGTTTATATGTAGTAGTACTTTGATGACTGTGTTCTTTTAGTGGCCATTGTAGGAAAAATATAATCCTATCAATTACCAATATTAAAGTGAAGCCATGTGGAAGAAGTATTTCAGGGGTATGAGATTCACTGAATATCTTTTCTATTTAACTAATATGGTTGGCATATATTAAATAAATATCCTGTTTAATATTTTTAATCCTAGGATATTATATATTTTACTCCTGTCGTGACCGAAGAATTTAAGGGCAGCGAAAGAAAAAATAAAATAAAAATAGAAAAATTAAACATTTCACTCATTGGAATACATTTTAGCTATCAAATCTCTCTCTCTCTCTCTCTCTCTCTCTCTCTCTATATTATTATATATATATTATATATAATATATATATATTATATTATTATATATTATATATATTTTATATATATATATACATAATTACTTTCAACATTTTCTACACAACACTGCTTCTATTACACTTTTCTCATCTCTCACTAGCAACTACCTTTATCCCTTAAGATCCTCTAACATAGCAACTGATCACGTTAATGGCTCAGTGTTAATACATATAAAAAATAAAGAATCTTTATTTCACAAAATTAATTTTCTTGGAGTAAAATTCAACGCTAATCCGATATTTTCCAAAAGTAACAAATGATGAAGAATTTAAGCAAGATAAAAATAATATTAATTTTACAATTTGATAATTGGTTTCATGATTATAATTTAGCATTATAATCTAATTAACTATTTGAAAATGGCAAATTACACATTCACCCACTATTAATTTCTGAGATTTTCGTAAATTGAAAATCAAATAAGTAAATATTAAAAAAAAGAAACTATGAAATAATAGAGCAAACATATATTTTGTCAGGTATTAATATATAAATAATTATACAAGTGGATATTATAAAAAAAAAAATCAATCTCGTTAATCACTTCAGTGGTATAAAACGCAGTTAAATATTCAAGCCGTCAGATTTGAGTTGCTAATCTTAAATTACCAACACTCGGTATGTATAAAGTGTTTTTCATCCAGAATAAAAAATAAAAATTTAATGGATTTAAGTTATAATTTCATTATTTATATGTATATAGGTGTGAATGTGTTTTATATATTTCAATTTCATTTAGCTTCTCTCTAATTTTTTTTTTACCTACGTATGTTAATTTTCTTATGTTACTTTCCACAACACTTTTTCTTTTATCTCTATTTTAGCTATCATTTATATGTATATATTGTGTGAATGTTTAATGTAGCCCTAATAAAAAAATAGAAAAAATTATAAATTACTTTGAGCTGACAAATAATTCCTATTAATATTTCAGGAAATGTTTTGCAAAGCCTTATTCCTTGCAGCCTTCTTTTATTTAGCCTCATGTGCTAATGAACCATCCCCTTGGGTACGAATATTTTAAAAATAAATAGCCTAAACAAAAGTTATAATTTTTATAATAATTAACTTTGTTTTATTTTTATGATTTTAGTTTCAACAAAACCAGTACAAAAGCAGTGTCAGGGAGTGTACCCACAGCTCATACTCAATTTACTCAGCTAACCACACTCAAATGTTCACCTCATGTTTCATTTTTATGTACCAACCTGTAATAAATATAACATATACTAACGTTTGAAAACGTGTTGAATTTTATTTTGTTGTAATTCAAGTGGTTGTTAAGAAACCTCTCATTGATATCTTACCAATTTTTACTATTGACTAGTCGATCATAGGTACATATCTTCTTTCATGTGCTTCAAAATGTCACCAGAAATTTTATTATTGCAATTGAGGAACTTGAGAGGAGTTTGTAATGGTTATATTATTGATATGGAAACGGAAAATATCTTTGAATTGTCGAACATCTAGCCCCAACTCGTATTTTTAGTCTTATGTGGATATAATCTGCTGTCATTTTTGCTACTTAGTTTAAAGCTTACAAGTTTGCCGATTGTATTAGTAGTGTTATATTTTAATGACACTGTTACATCTAATAGAGTACCCACATATGCATTGTGAAACATCAATCCAGGCTTAAGTATTAGCAAGTTTTTAACGATTTTCATATTTTTCATGTTAGTCCAAAAAAATAACTTATTGCTTCCCCACTCTTGGTCAAAAAGTCTATTTGAACAATATAAACACTCTAATATAATTTAAAGTGTTTTCACTCGTCAGTATACAATCTTCCCTAGAATTGGAATAGTCATATTACGTATTGTTATATTTATTATTAGTTGATCAATACCAATATAGTGTCAAAATCAGCAAATAAAGCAAAATATTATTAATAATCAAAATCGTTATTTAACGATAAAAAACCATGCAATCATATTTTTTTTTTTGTTATCAACATAAAAAAAACTAATGTATATGTGATCTATGAAGGAGTTGTTAATTAATACACAAATAAGTTATAGTATTTTAACGGTTTCATTTAGACGTATCGGGGATACTTACTAAGGAAATAAATAATACTAAAAATTGAGAGTTCTTATTTAATTAAATTAGAACTACGATTAAACAGCTTTTGATATTTAGCTCCAGAAGAAGTTGTTAATTTAGTTCCAAACATGGATTTCAATGGCCATATAACCTAATGCGCTGTAACAGTTACAAAATTTTTTGGACAAAGCGTCGACAGAACAGTCTTTTACAAAAAATAATAGAAAAGAGTGATAACATTTTAACGATATAGTGTTAAGGATAACGACTTAATGAAAAACAAACATATATTTCTAACCCGTTTTGTGTCAGTCATTTGAGCCGTTTTCGAAAAATAAGTAGGATAATATAAACAGAAATAAAAAGGAAGAATTTTAATTAATTTAATTTTATTAAAATTTGAAAGCAATATTTACTTTTAATTATGAAGAAAAAGAATTTCGTAAGAAAAAAAAACTCATATTTAGGTAACAGTAAATGGATTAAAACTATGCATAAATTAAAAATAAATTTTCTTTATGAGGGTAAAATAAGTATAGTAATATCAAAAAAAAAAAAAAGAGACTTCCAACTTGATATTTTGAAAAGTAAACTTTTAATAATAATAATAATACTTTATTTATTCTGGGAGGAGTACCTTTAGAATAATACAGAAAAACAGAAATGTTGGCTAAGCAGCCTTTTAGGTGGTATAATTATTAATATAAAAAATACAATGAAAATTAACGGTCTAGCGTTATCGTGATACAAGACAACGCCATTCATATTAGCCGCTTTTCTAGAATCACTAACTTCAATTGCACTAGTTGTTCAAAGTAGAGAGTTGAATTAATGGTTTGGCCAAGCACACGGCTTCACCTTCTTTGGTGTCGATCCTGGATTTGCCAAAGTTTTTGAAGCTTCTTCGGGCTTTGATCACGGTGTGCAAATCGTAGCCGTACATGATCCTTATCCCAATAAGGTATATATTTATACATTGGCTTATATAATATAAATATTGCCTTATGTAATTAATTTCTGTATAATAACGAATATTAAGAGAAAAAATTCTGCATAGTTTCGGAGTTTTAACATTAAGTTATAATTGCTTTAACTTTTGAATCGTTGAAGTTAAGATAATAAAATAATTCATAATATTAAAGAAAATTTAATGTTAAACGACTATTTTCTGCATTACTTTATCGTAAAATGAAAAGATAAAGAGTTAGCGAGTCAAATAATGATAAAAATGCAAGACAAAAATTATTTTTTTTCGAAGTTAGTGTTTTACGAGGACGGCTATCACGGCAACTATATACGGATATCGGAAATATAAACATAACCATTTCCATTCAAAATTTTGTTAGCTTTAGGTTTATATGTGGCATTTTTATCGCTAGAAAGCATTGTTCGATATATGCGAAAAACCGAAAAAACGGAACCGTAATCGTAAATTCAAATTTTCTATTTGAAATCCACGGATGTGTGGAACAGACTATTAGTTTATGTCTTAGGACAGTAAATAATAAAAATAAATGAATGCAATAATATAATAATAAATAAGTTAAATAAATTCAGAGGGTTATTAGCTTTCTACATTTATAAGCCCTCTTTTTATATAATTTTTCTATCTATATAATGTCCCTATCTATCATTACTTGGCCGTCATTATGTATTCCAGCGACTATATACTAGAAGATTAAACCTTAGTATAAAATAAAACACTTATTTTGTCGAGGGCAATCGGACTGGAACCTATGTATCGAGCTTTTTTTTTGTATCCATCCTTATGTAAATGGCTCAAAACTGTTTTGTAATCGATGTTTAGTTCCGTATTGAGATGAAATATGTCGGTATTCTTAAATATTTTGAAGAATTTCATTGAATTTTTCACCGATTGTCCGGCCAGAGCGAGGTTCATCTTATTCATCAAAATTTTCGGAGCGAAAACGAACAAAACAATTCTTAGGCTGGCATTGACTGAAGCACTCATCAACATGAACGTTATATAATTTTCATGCATTTTTACCATTTCGAAAATAAAACAGCATGATGATATGATGAAAATGACCTTCTGGAAAGTCCATTTTTAAAACTAATTTACAATAGACTGAGTAAATGAAGGACAATACTTATATATGTAGAATATTCTATGGACTATAACCTTTCAAATGCACCATACAATGGCTTCATTGAACAAGGATTACTAGAGATAAGAGGCTTTGAAGTCACTTGTTGAGGTAAAACGAAATTACTTTTTGCTCAACCCAATATGGTATATTAGTATATAATTGAAATAGTATATTATTTAAATTGTTTAGGCCACCTAAATGAAGGTGAAATTCGTTTTATCTTTAAAATCTAGGTTTAGTATTATTTTTAAGTTCATCGAAAGAAAAGAGTGAGATCCACCATCCAATTATAAATTAAAAATTAGGGAAAATACTAGAAATAATTATGATGATATAAACCTCATCAAAATGAAAATATGAAAAAAAGATAAGAATTTCAAGACGTTGAAAAAGTTAGACAAGTAAAAAAGGGGCAATTAAAAAACAAACTTGTTTATAATATGTCTTAATTATTATTCTTTGATTGTGTCCACACCACTGTTATTCGGAATGGACTTTGTCCCAGAATAACATCGATTTTTATTTCTGTTTTATTCTATTGTATTTTTAATAAAAAACTTCTGGTTAAATATTATTTATATTTCAACTCGCTAATATTCTATTGAATAAAGACTACCTACTGATTAAACGTCCTGATATTAGTTGCAGTTTGTATTAATGATATTAATTGTTTTAATATTAATTTTAAAATAAAATATTATATAAAGGATAAATAAATAATAAATTAATGTTATTGTAAAATAAATGGTTTTATTTTATTTAAATGTTATACAGGTAATATTTCCATTCAACTATTGTTTGATCCATGTTTTTCTTTCGTGAATATTTGCTTGTTCTGCATTGTTGGAAGTTTGAAGGCTTGATTAGATGATGTATATAATAAAATTAGATAATTAAGCGGCTGCCTGCTGGTTAAAGTAGTAAGGGAACTGAAATACAAAATAAAAATAAATAAATACAATATATGGTCTAATAGTATTCTTTTAAAATTAAAAAATTGAATGAAAATTAAAATATACTTACTCCGTAAAATCTGTTTTGGTTATTAAACTGACCCTGGTATGGGTAGGTGTATGGACCTTGGAATGGGTATGTGAATGGTCCCTGGTATTGGTATGGGTATCCTTGGTATTGGAATGGGTATCCTTTGTATTGAAATGGATATCCTTGGTATTGGAATGGGTATCCTTTGTATTGGAATGGGTACTGTCCTTGGTATTGGTATGGGAAACCTTGGTATTGGAATGGGTATCCTTTGTATTGGAATGGGTATCCTTGGTATGGGGTTGGATATGGCCCCTGGTTGTATCCGTACTGCTGTGGGTACAGTCCGTAGTTCTGCGGCCCGTTCTGGTCCTGTTGGAACTAAGATTGCGAAAGAGATAAAATATTTAAAAATAATTATAAATGTCTTAAAACTAGTTTACTTAAATATAATTACCAGAGGATATTGTTCACTAGCAGCCAAAGCCAAAAAGGCAGCTAAGAATAAAGCTTTGAAAAACATTTTCTGAAATAACAATATAAAATAAATATCTTAGTACAGTTATAGCAATAAACTTTTATCAATTAATTTTACGATTCTTATATGAATATTTGTTAACTCACCAAGTGTTGGTTATTCGAGTTAAGCAACTCAAATGTAACTTTCTGAAGTAACAGGTATCTTTTATACCAGTGAAATGATATTGAGGTTATCAGTTTTTTTTTTTAAACAAAAAAAATATTGGTTTTAATATTGCTAATTACTTATTATTGTCTGATAACGATGTTCCTAATTGATTTTTCTTTTTTATTCACTTATAGAAAATAATTAAAAGAAGAAAATTAATTCAACTACTGTAGGTATGGACATGGATTTTTTTGAGTAAATTTGTAGAAAATAACCTCGTGGGGTGACTTCAATTTATCTTTCTTTTTTGACCTTCAAAAGTTGTATAGCTCCATGTAAACGTTCTTATTTATATATATATTATTTTTTTAAATCATTTATGAAAGATTCTTGTTAGTAAAAATATATTTATAAATTGTTATTGCTATTTCAAATAAATTGATGTATTATTTATTTTAATTAATTCAATGCTTTTTTTAGTTTAAAATCTTTAGAAAATGCAAATTTTCAATAAGGAATATTAAAAATTTGATGACCATTAAAAATAATAAAACTTATTAAATATTAACGTGTTTATAAATAAGAATACGATGGATTTATGAAAGAAAGTATTATTTCATAATTTTGATAACCTTTAATTAAGCACATACCAAGCAATTTATTCATAGCTTTAGTTAGTTTTCTGGAAAGAAATGCTTATAACAAAAGTTTAAATAAACAGTTTTTTTTTCCACACACCTCAGTTCCTCAAAGGTATATTTTAAAAATACAACAATAATTTATTTTAATTTAACCTAATTTACTTTAGCTAGCACTCGCTCAATCTCCACTGGGTTTAGCCCAAGTGACGCGGTTGAGAGAGAAGTGCAGGAATCTCCTGGAATCATGCTTTTCCCTCCACAATTGCAGGGACATGTCTGGCTCGGAGTTCTCTCGCCTGATTGTAAATAGTGTATGTAGGTATGTTATTTTATATTTATTTATTTTTTTCATTTGTACATAGAGTGTGAATGTGATCTCTGAACACTATTATAAATGTCCTTTGAGACAGATTGTAATATTTTCAATAAACAAGTTTAAAAAAAAAAAACTAACTTTATAAACTTAGTTAAAAAGTAGATTAAAATTCCCAAAACTGTCAATGGATTCTAGGCAGATATATATAATGTATAAACGAACAATCTAGTTCAGCTAATATAGTAAAAAAATAAACAAATATTTGTGATTTTAGGGAAAACAACATATGAAAACCGGATTGAATTTTAAATGACCACATTACATATTTAAGTAATCACTGCATCTGATTCTGAAGAATATACAAAAAGAAAATAATAATAATAATAAAATGTAATTCATTTCAAATTCTTAATAATTATAAACGAAATAAAAAGTAAAATAAGTTTTTCTCACCAACACACACACACAAAAAATCAAATTGAAAAAAAGTTGCGGTATATCGAGTTCTATTCAATTAACATTTCCCAGAACTCCGAAAGAAAATCTTTTTTCGTCTCGAAAATCTCAGAATATCCAGCGGTACTAAATTTACCTCATCATAACCAAAATATTTTATTGATAAATGATTATTATATTCCCCATCAGTCACCAGAATTCCAAATATAAAACTTCTTTTTCAGAAGAAGAAAAAAATACATCTCTAAAATTAATCGAGTTAAAAATTATACTAAAAATGTAATAAATCATTACATTATGATTTGGTAGTTTAAAATGTACATACCTCAATATAAAAACTCATTTAAAATTATCTTTATGTTTTAGGGGTTTTTATTTAATTTATTGTATTACTGAATAACAAATTACTTTATACAGGAAGAATAATTCTAGTGTTTTTCTCATTCAAAAAAAAAATTCTTCTACCTAATGTAAATACCTAATGTACCTAAACACCTAATGTAAATATATTTTTTATATAATCCAGTTATATACCCAACTCTTCGGTGCTAAGGCTCATATTCAAGAATTTTCTTTTTTCTTGTTCTTAAAAATTTTTCATAAAAGTAAATGCATAATTAGTTATATCGCCTTATTTTTACAATTGTCTTACTTTGGAAATATTCTTACATTCTTACACTGTTTACTTATTATATCGATTATAATTATATGATAAATTTTTTACTGACAAATAGTTCTTGAAGAAGGGTCCGGAACGTTGAATATTGGATTATGTTAAAAGCATTTACACCAGCAAGATCGCTTACTCTTCCAGAACGGGATGCTGTCATTTTAACACCGCAAGATATAAGTATTTTCCTCAAAAAAGAAATAATTCATAGCTGGTAATCTATGTGGAATGAGAGTACGTCAAAAAATTAAAAAAAATCAGTAAAGCCGTGGTCAACATCGAATCGCCTTATCCGCAGAGAAGTTGTCTTAACCAGACTAAGAATAGGCCACACCAATCTTACCCATTCACATCTCATTAGCAAGCAGCCACCACCACAATACCAACACTGCAATAATACACTTACAGTCAGCCACATATTATATTATGCTACTAATGGGATGTTCTTTTTACGTATCAAATCTAAATAGTCTAGGACTTACACCTTAAATATGAAACATTTGATGACGAAGACACTATAAAGTTAGTGTTAGATTTCTTAAAATCAAATAATTTGTTAAATAAAATTTAAAATATTTAAAAATATAATATAAAGATAAATAAGATTAACTTGCAGGCGTTGATGACCTGGATGTTTTACGCCTATGGATTCCCAACAAACAAACACCAGCAAGATGAAATATTTTTTTGGAAACCATAAAGAAACTACATTTTAACTTTTTTTTTATTTTAACACATAACCGCGTATGAAATCTCTAATATGCTGATGTTAATGATAAGTCAGTATGTCTCGGCTTGAGCAATCTGTGACTTAGGATTCGGTAGAGTATTCTCGCAGAACTAGATATTTAAAATATATAGTTTTTATGAGAAGGAGTTAGTCGAGGGTGCGGTCAAATAAATAATAAATTAAAATATATTAATTATTTTAATTTTTGCCGACGTTTCGACCCACTTTTTTGAGTGTTTCAACTGCCTACCGCAGTGCTACATCCTACGCCCTGAAGACGACCTGCAAAGTGGGTCGAAACGTCGGTAAAAATTAAAATAATTAATATATTTTAATTTATTATTTGTTTGACCGCACCCTCGACTAACTCCTTCTCATATTATATCAACGGTCAACCATCTCTACATCATTGTATAGTTTTTATTTATTTCAGGTATGTTTAATTGTGATCATTTTATGAAATTCCTTAAGAAGGTTAATATTTTACTTGTATTTAACTATAATTGAAATATATAGGAAGGCGAAGTATTGCGATTTCGAGAAATTCGAATTGAGTTATATTTATTTATTTATTTATTGTTTCATTCCGCATCTACACAAGCACGTCATTAGTAGCTTTAGATGTAATCAAATTAGGTGGACAAATTTAATGTCTTTTATAAATTCAAATACTTTTTGTATCTTTTCATCGTCATCTGAAAGTGCGTCAGATATGTTAGAAGGTATATTATGTTTTGTTCTGGCGTCAGAGTATAGTCAGCAAGTTGTTACAATGTGTTTCATGTGTACGTGATGTGTTGCATGTTTTACAAAAAGTGGTTCCAGGCCTCTCATCAGGTAGCCATGGGTAAAGGCTGCATGTCCAATTCTAAGGCGAGTTAAAATTATTTCTTCTTTTCTGTTCATTCTGAAAGAGGTCGTCTACGGTTTGGTATCTTTTTTAATTTCTTGCAATTTATTCGTAGATTGGTCCCACTTGAATTTATATTTTTGTATAGTTTAGCATTTCTTTGCATTCCAATCTCCAGTCAGCAGTGGTCGTTAAATTTATCATTGTGGTTCCATTAGTTTTTCTTCTTGCCAGGTTCGCAGCCCTGTCTGCAGCTTCGTTCCCAGATATGCCACAATGTGAGGGTGCCCATGCGAGGACGATGTCTCTGCCCGGCGACTCCTTCATTTCCCAGTTTTCAATTCAGGCAGTTTTTGATTTTCCTGGAAATGGCATTGTCGGCTTTCCCTTCGGCAATGGCCATTAATGAGCTTAAAGAGTCTGTAACTATAAGGCCATCTTTTACGTTTTTTTCTGTTAGTAATAAGAAGGCCTGATATATGGCGAATAGTTCGACTGTGAAGACGCTGTTTCTTTGGGGCAAATTGAATTTGAGGCACTTGTCTTTCAATATTACTGGACGTCCTACGTCACTATCTGTTTTTGACGCATCTATATAAAGGGTTATGTGTCCGAGGTATTTGTGTTTCATTTCTGGAAATGAATAACGATTCTCCTAGAAATTCCAGGAAATAGGCCATTTGTACAATACAACAACCGATGGCAGTACTCTTCAGCTGACTGGAAAATTTATGAGGAATACATAATTGCAAACATAAATCAAAACAAAAGCTCTTTAGACACACTTGAATATCTAAATATCAATGAACATCTAACCGAATTGAGTTTTCATGTTCGACTCGGTACATGCTTCAAAGTCCATTGAGTTCAAACAATAAATCATCTAAAAAACTTCTATTAATATGCAAACAATATACCTTTAAAGAAAAAAACAACAACAATATTATTTCAGTGATTTTACGTTTGTATTGTTCTAAAAAAAAAAACTTCGAAATGTTTTGATCAAACTCAATATATCGATGTTTAATTGAAACATAAAAACAGAAATAGAATTTTGGAAGCTTAAATGCAGATTTTCCAAAATTTTTTCATCTAAATTACTTTTAGTTTTGCTTATTAGAGGTAATAAAAGGTATCTGATTTCTAAAAGCAATAAAAACATGTATAAATATTAATTATAAAAGTATTAGTAATTAACTAAAAAAGAAAATTAGAGAAATATTTATGCATTCCAAAAAAAAATCTGAGAACAAGAGCAGTAATATACAGTTGGAAAACTAAAGATGTTAGAAAATGAATATCTGATATAAGATAGGAAATGAAAAGTAACAAAATCCAACAACATTTAATTATAGCTATTAATGTTTAATTCTATATTATCAAATAGGAAAT